TTCCCATTTCAATTTCATATGTTGAACTTTCACATAGCCATCTTGCTAAACTCCAGTATCATTTATTTCTAATTGTTATGCTTTAGATTATCTTGCATTTTCAATTATGACAAGCATATTGTGATAACTAAAATGTGTAATATTTATATCTAATTTCTGTTTATTGTCATTTTGCATTAGTTATAAACTAAGATTGCTTGAATATGCTGTATAGCACAGGTAGTGGACTTTAATGAGAATATTCTTAAAATTTTAACACTTAGCATCAAGTTATTGTATGTTTTTGGTTGATAGCTATCCTCATATTATCAGGTCTCATTTTAGTTTGCTGAAAGTTTTAAACATGAAACAAGCATTAACTTTTATCAAATAATTTTTCTTTATTAAAAGTTATTAGTATTACCAGTTTTTCCTTTTGCCTTAGATTCCAATATGAGTTGGTTATTCATCTGGTCTTTTTAAAAGTTCTGATATTTTATTCGTCATGGACTTTTGCTATAATTTTAATTTTTTAAACATGCTGCATTACAGTATTATTTATCTTGGTTACTGAGATTTTTTAATGTTCCCTTAAGTGTTGTGCCTGAAGAGATTACCTCACTTGCCTCACTCTAGTAGTCCTATCTCTGCTGGTCAGATTACACATTTTGGAGAGTGTTTACACCAAAAGGATATTTATCAGTGGACTAGTGAATCAACATGGTCAATAAGATAGCCATATTTCTCTGAACATGATGTTAAGTTCAAGGCTGACCATAAGACATTTGGGTCAATGAGCCTGAAGTCAGAACTTTAACTCAATTCTTTGAGGTAGGAGAACCTAAAATGTTTAAGACTTTACCATGAAAAGATGTGGACCTTAAATTCTGAAAGTCATATTGAAACCTGTGCAACTAGAAAACAAAAGCAAAATATATTGGGCGGCAGAATCATGAGCCAAAGATAGACTGAGTTTTATTGACCTAACATTTCGCTTCTGTATCTATCTATACTAAAGTCAAATTCCTCTGGTCTTTTCAGTTTTATGATTTAAATGTATCTCTGTTTTGTTTCAAACTGATTGGCCTAGAAATTTTATAATCTGTGACAAAAATTGATGAGGAAATCTTATTCATTGTCCTAATGCTCCATTTTATTTATTGAATTATGTGGTTAAAGTGCTTTCTCTGTCTCTCTCTCCCCTTGTATAATAAATTACCATGCACCTACTATCTAAATCCTTTCTATATTTATGAGTACTCTGAGCCTTTCTAACCAAGAAACTAGCTTATATGGTTGAAAGTAGTTCAGAAACGGGACCTGCAGGACCAACAAAGGCATGGTTTTATGTTCTACTTAGCAAAAGGTGGTAAAAGTGATTAAATTACATCTAAGCTAAAGTCCCTGAGAAAGCACTTAAAGTCAAACGTTGGAAACGATAAATAAAAATGCTACTTTGATAAAAACCAGATAAGAGCAGGAGCAGCAGATGAAAGAATCAACAAATGACCTAAATAGTTAGCTAGTTTAATGTCATTACCTTCTTTCTTCTGGTATAGAGATGTGCTAGACAAAATACAATAGTCAGGATTGGAAGTTATGTAAAGTATAGTTATATGACATATATTTAAATATACATGTCTATATTTGTATAATTATGTGTGAAGTGAGTGATGAAAATACATATGTAGCAGAGTAAATGTAGAATGTATAGATTGTTAAAACATAGTGTATTAATTTGACAAATAATTACAATATATGGTTGTATACTTATAATTAAAAGGCAGTTGTTAACAATTCCAATTTAATGAAATAAAAGCTGAGTGTGGGAACATTTCTTTTGTCTGAAGATTCTGTATTTCTGTGATAATTACTGATCACCAAATTCTTTTAGTAAAATCTTTATAAGCTGGGCGTGGTGGCTCATGCCTGTAATCCCAGCACTTTGGGAGGCTGAGGCTGGCAGATTACGAGGTCAGGAGATCCACACCCTCCTGGCCAACATGGCAAAATTCCATCTCTACTAAAGAAAATATACAAAAATTAACTGGATGTGGTGGCATGTGACTGAAATCCCAGCTATTCTGGAGGCCGAGGCAGGAGAATTGCTTGAAACAGGTAATTGGGAGGTTGCAGTGAGCCAAGATCTCGCCACTGCACTCCAGCCTTGCAACGGAGTAAGACTCCATCTAAAAAAAAAAAATGTTTATTTGTGCAACAACCAACAGCCAGGTTTCATTATTCAGAATAATATTTTTTACTTCTTATAATATAAAAATATCATTTGAGTGATTTTCAGCATTACCTGTTAATTTTGAATGCAGAGAATGAACAAAGAAGATAAATATATGTATATGCTGTATAATATAATTCCATATATAATTCACAGTTAGATTCATTTGATTATGCAAAATAAAAGAAGACAATACTATCAAGATCTTATTTCAAAACACAGTAAAAATAACATTCACATCCATTAAACATTGCAAGCCATCCCAGTATATGTCTTTCTTGAGTAAGTAATGAACCAATGGATCAGTGGTTATTGTTGGAATTAGGCTGTTCACCAATGTGCTATTTATACCCCCTTGGTGATTATTTACCACTTAACCTAAGTAGACTTTCCCACTTGTTTGAAGCTATTGCTATCCCTAAATAATGACAACAGGAAATGTTTCACAATGGCTTTTGATTTCCAAAAGTCTCAAATTCCAGAGCAAAGACTCCATCTAAGGCAATTATTTATGGACTGAACATTTGAATCACGATATAATATTTTCCTTAAGTAAAAAAAGCCGACACTAGTACATAATGATAAAATTTTTAAACCACAGTAGATAATGATTTGTAACTCTATGTTAGGACATTTCATATTCCATATTGAAACAGTGATTCTGTAGCTGGCATCAGCTGGATCCTGACTTCATTCAGGTGAATGATCTGGAGGGGATCATATTTTTAAATAGGAAATCTGTTTGAATAAGCTGAGTGATTAACATTCAGTGAACAGCGAGTATTCTTAACTAAATCAAAGTAGTCATGAAAGCAAGTATTGTAGGTAATTCAAAAAATATATATATCAAAATTAAATGGTGAGGTTGAAGGTTGTAGTTAAGTACCAACTAATGTGAGTTCTGGGAGCATTTTGAAATGGTGGAGGAATTATTTCTGAGGAATTAATACTGATGGGAAGGATGCAGGAAAGAGTAAATATGGGGAGCTGTGGTTTATTCCTGTAATCCCAGCACTTTGGAAGGCTGGTGCTGGAAAATTGATTGAGCCCAGATGTTCAACACAAGCCTAGGTAGCATGACAAAACCCGTCTCTACAAAAATTATATAAATTAGCCAGTATGGTGCCCTGCACCTGTAGTCTCAGCTAGGTGGGAGGCTTTATTGACCCATGTTTGCACCACTGCCCTTCATCTGTCTCAAAACAAAAAATAGAGTAAAAAGCCTGTGGGTTGAGTAATTTTTCTTTGAAAAAGAAGCCATAAGGATTTGGAGACCGTTTAGATGTGGTATATGACGGAAAATAAGAAATCCAAATTGAGTTCAAAATCTCAGGCCTAAGGAACAGACAGAATTATCATTGCTGGCCAGAAGTCACGAAGCTATACCAAATGAATGAGGTGGTTGTATCTAAATTAGTTCAGATTCGAATGTCAAATTTGAGGTGAACACTACAGAAACTGACAAGTCTTGAAAGTTGTTGAGATACCGGGCTGCACATGGCTCACGATGAAAGATATTGATCTGGATATAGTGAATTAACTCCAGAGAAATATTAACACCCCAAGAGTGACCAGCACATGAATGTTCTAGTAGACTTTCTTGCTGATAATTCTCTTCAACAGATATAATCTACTTTTTTTTTTTTTTTAGCACAAACTATTAGTTGCATTGTCAGCAAATCCTAATGATAACTGAATAGGTTTCAGCAGGTTTAAATATTTTGTTATTTTTAGTAAGAGAAAATATTGTGAAGCATAGTATTAGGAAGTACATAAAAATAATTTCCTTTTGATTGCTATAAAACTTCTTGTTTCCATAAAGTTTCTCCTTATCATGAGTTGTGTTTAACAGACAATTATTCAATCATCTTGACTGACAGAATGGCCTATGGTCAGGCCGGGCGTGGTGGCTCACGCCTGTAATCCCAGCACTTTGGGAGCCAGAGGTGGGTATATCACGAGGTCAAGAGATCGAGACCATCCTGGTCAACACGGTGAAACTCCGTCTCTACTAAAAATACAAAAAATTGGCTGGGCATGGTGCCGCATGCCTGTAATCCCAGCTACTCAGGAGCTGAGGCAGGAGAATTGCCTGAACCCAGAAGGCGGAGGTTGCAGTGAGCCGAGATTGCACCATTGCACTCCAGCCTGGGTAACAAGAGAGAAATTCCGTCTCAAAAAAAAAAAAAAAAAAAAAAAAAAAAAAAAAAAATGGCCTATGGTCAAACAAACAAAAAAAGTTAAACCAATCCAAATCAGGCAGGAATATGATGCAGAGTTGACTTTTCAAAGCGGCTTGGCTGAATATTGATGGAAGTGCTGGTTAGTGCAAAGGAGAAAAACTATGTATAAGGAGGAATGCACATAATAGAGTTCTGTTATTATCAGTCTTTTCAAATACATAATTGAATGAGCTTTATCAGAAGCAGGTGTTTGTCACCATTTTAGATGAGAAACTCAAGAAGTGCTTGATTTTTTTCTGGCTACAGGCTATAAAGGAGATCATCAGTTACATGATCATATTCTCAAACAGATGGTGAGCAAATGGAAACAAAGGACTGATTTGATGTAGCTGGCAGTATGATAATTTGTAGTTAAATGAAAGTAGAGAAGGATTCAGAGAATGAGTAATTTCACAGGAGCCAGTTGATAAATTATAGACCTAGAAGAAGAAATTTGACAAGATTAGAAAAGCAACTTTGACACAGATGTGCAATAAACATAGAAAATTTAATGAACACATTACTTAAAATTATTTTACTAAAAGGAAAAATAGAAAACAAAGTGAAACATTTCAGATAAAATATTTATTAGAATCAATGCTAAATTGCTATAACAAATTTATGTATTTTAAAGAAAAATTTCTTCATATCCTATTTTCACTTTCAGCTTCTTTCTCTTTCTTTTGGTTTTAATTAGGCCTTCTTTTGATTTTCTTTGGATGAAACCTATAAGAGGAAGAGGAATAAATTAATGTGTGATAAAGTAACACCATCCTGGTCAACATGGTGAAACCCCGTCTCTACTAAAATTACAAAAAATTAGCTGGGCATGGTGGCACGTGCCTGTAATCCCAACTGCTCGAGAGGCTGAGGCAGGAGAATTGCCTGCACCCAGGAGGCGGAGATTGCGGTGAGCCGAAATCGTGCCATTGCACTCCAGCCTGGGTAACAAGAGCGAAACTCCGTCTCAAAAAAAAAAAGAAAAAAAAAAAAAAAAAAAAAGTAACACAATGAAACATTTTATCTAAAATCTTCTCAAAGTATCTTTTAACATTTAAATCCAAAAGATGTTATTGATTTAAAAGCCTTTAATTTGCTTCTGTATTTGTGTAGAACAATCTATTTTTAAGAAAGTTACTTTGCTGGGTCAAAGAATGTTCATTGCAGCACTGTTTACAATAGCAAAGACCTGGAATCAACCCAAATGCCCATTGATAATAGACTGGATTGGAAAAATGTGGCACATATACACCATGGAATATTATGCAGCAATCAGAAATGATGAGTTTGTGTCGTTTGTAGGGACATGGATGAATCTGGAGAACATCATCCTCAGCAAACTGACACAAGAACAGAAAATGAAACACCACATATTCTCACTCATAGGTGGGTGATGAAAAATGAGAACACATGGACACAGAAAGGGGAGTACTAAACACTGGTGTCTATTGGGGGGAAAATGGGAGGGCCAGTGGGAGGGGGAGGTGGGGAGGGATAGCCTGGGGAGAAATGCCAAATGTGGGTGAAGGGGAGAAGCAAAGCAAAGCACACTGCCATGTGTGTACCTACGCAACTGTCTTGCATGCTCTGCTCATGTACCCCAAAACCTAAAATCCAATAAAAAATTAAAAAAAAAAGAAAGTTACTTTGCATATATGAGTTAATAAAAATGAATAAGCATGCTGTTAATTTTTATTACTAGTTCATTTTCTGTTACAAATCCATTCTTCCTTTATTTTTAAAAAGTAGAAATGTGGCTGTATATGGCTGATGGAGTTACAGACAGTATTATTTGTATTTTTATACTCTTCTCACTCTATTATAGACATGCATCACTGTTATATTTCAGAAGACATCAATAAACAGGTTAACATTTTGTGCATTTCAAGAAAGTTTAAAGGAATTGGGTATAATCTTTTAAAATAAATGCTTAGTATTTCAACATTAAAAGAATAACATGTTTAAATTGTTTTAAATTGATTCTTTTTCTAAGAAGACATTAAAAGAAATTAAAGTTGTATATCTAGCAATATTATCTAAATGTATTTGAAGAGGACATTTATTAACTGGATCATATTTTCTTTCCTTTCTTTCTTCCTTCCTTCCTTCCTTCCTTCCTTCCTTCCTTCCTTCCTTCCTTCCTTCCTTCCTTCCTTCCTTCCTTTCCTTCCTTCCTTCCTTCCTTCCTTCCTTCTTCTTCTTCTTTCCTTCTTTCTTTCTTTCTTTCTTTCTTTCTTTCTTTCTTTCTTTCTTTCTTTCTTTCTTTCTTTCTTTCTTTCTTTCTTTCTTTCTTTCTTTCTCTTTTTTTTGAGATGGAGTTTCACTCTTGTTACCCAGGTTGGAGTGCAATGGCGCGATCTCGGCTCACCGCAACCTCCGCCTCCTGGGTTCAGGCAATTCTCCTGCCTCAGCCTCCCGAGTAGCTGGGATTACAGGCACGCACCACCATGCCCAGCTAATTTTTGTATTTTTAGTAGAGACGGGGTTTCACCATGTTGACCAGGATGGTCTCGATCTCTTGACCTCGTGATCCACCCGCCTCGGCCTCCCAAAGTGCTGGGATTACAGGCTTGAGCCACCACACCCAGCATATTTTCTTATAATAAAGATAATTAATTTCATATTTTAATAGATTATAATTTCAATTCAATTGTTATCTTAAACACTAATCAATTAATGGGAAGAGTATCTTCTATACCTTTTTTACATGACTTCCGACATTCTTTTTTGGAAGTAAAATTGTTTTCATTTCCCCCGCATCCACTGTACTTAAATGGGCGGCATTTCCCAATGACTGAATTGTAGTAGAATCTGGTCTCATTGGCGCGACACAGTCCTCTGTCTGCTGGATCGAGACACCATGAGGGACCATGAAATTCTAAAAACATCAGGAAAACACGGCAAGCCATACATGAAAGTGAATTTGAGGCTTTCCTATTGATACTGTTTATAGATTAGTCTTGTTGCATGCAAATGTAAGAATCATCTGAATGAATAAAGGGATATATAATAAAATTCATGGATTTCAATTCTAGGAAAATGCTTAACAAAGCCCTGTGCCGTCTATATTGAGATCTTTCTCCAATGAATTAAAAAAATCTCATTTGCCAAAGACAAGTGTTATGATTATTCTTTATATGAACAATTTGTACATAATAAAAATTTGTACACTATTCAACATTGTTGAATAGTGTACATAATAACAATTTGTACACTATTCAACAATGTAACTGCTGAAAATTTCTTAGACACACACACACACGTTCATTTACATATCATTTGTTCACAAGAATTTAGTTTTAAAAAATTCTAATAAGCGAAGTTTTTATTTGTGATGTAACAAATACACCGAAGCTGAGGAAGTTTCCTGTCTTGAATAACACAGCATGAACGATGTAATATAATCATAATTTAAAGTGAAGGAATTAAACCATAACAAGTTTTAAGTTTCAAGGAATGAGTCCAGATGAGATGTTTGTCTTGGTAGTATTTTTTTTTCTCATAAATTGAAGCTTAGTTCTAGATGAGTTAAATGTTTTTACAAAGGAAGCAACATTGCTAAAACCAGTGAAATGAAAGGTTGATTTGGATCAGACAGATAAGCTGGTTTCTCAATGGGATCAATCAATGGTTTTCAAAAACAGAAGAGAAAAATACAGCTAGGGCAATAAAAAGAACACTCATTTGCTAAATCAAAGAGAAAATTAATTTCAGCTCAATGTTAGTTTTTAGCTCTTTGGGAATTACTGTCAGTGAGAGGCACTGGGAGCTCTTCAGTAGCATAGCTAAATTGCTTGATGTTAATAAATCTGTACTGCAGGTAAGTTGTTGTATGTTATGGAATCAATGTAAAAAAACTTTAATGGTTTTGCCAAATGGTGAGATGTGATACAAGCAAATACAGATGAGGAAGATTTGCTAAATGTTCAATCCTAATAGAAAATAGTACTTTGAAGAATCCAGTAGTTAATGAAGGTAAATAGATTGTGCATTAAGCAAGAAGCTGTCTTTTGGCAAATAAACCCCAGATGAACAGACTGTAAAAGAAAAAAGAAATAAAACAGTGAGAAAAATTGAAAAGAAATCTCAAATTGATATAAGCATTTTTTTTTTACCACCTCCTGCCTTCTGGATATTTAAATAGATACTAGAGTGTTGTCTTGATATAGTAACTCAAATAACAAAAGCATTCTGGGAAATATGAGGGAATTAATGCTATGAGAATGATTTATGTGAAGAAATCTGAGATGGGTGATATTTTTGTTCCAAAATTTAAGAACTATAATCAAACAAAGAATCTTTAGTTTTACTTAGGTCTTTGACCAGTTATACATGCAGTAATTTTTTTTTTTTTTTGAGATGGAGTCTTGCTCTGTTGCCCAGACTAAGGCGCAGTGGTGCTATCTCAGCTCACCTGCCACTTCCACCTCTCAGGTTCAAGCGATTCTCCTGCCTCAGCCTCTTTATATCCAGTGATTTTTAAGAAGACCTCTTAGGACTTGTAAAATGAAAATGTTATTTTAAATCATATGTTGCCCTTTCTGTTTTACCTTATCCTATGTGGGGATTATAATGCATGATTTTTAAGAACAATTTTTGTTGTGTATATGTGAGCTTTACAAAACGATGTTATGGGATAGATATAAAGAGTAAAATAGTTGCTATAGTGAAGCAGATTAATATATCCATCTCTCATAGAGTTATAATTTTTTGTATATGTCAAGAGTAGCTAAAATCTACTTATATAACAAAAGTCCATAACACAATATGTTTTATTAATTGTTGTCTTCATGTTGTACGTTAGATCTCTAGCCTTATTTATACTACATGCCTGTATTTTGTATCCTTTTACATGACGATATGCCATCATAAATCCAAGTTAAAATGAGTGGTGAGAATGTGTGCTAAATATTCTAGAAAATGTTGACATTTCTGGTCTTTAAGAATCATTTATATAAGAGGAATTTTCTAGTGGTCTAGGAGAGTTACACTGTAATGAAGTTGTACTATTGTACAAACTTTTCCAATGTACGTGATATGGAGTATTACCCTTGCACAGTATAGAATATGAAATGATTATTAATTGCCGCCACTTTGATCTCATAAGCTTCCAGTTATCACTTATGTTCAGAAATAAAAGAGATGTTCTAGATGCAATTAGCCTAATTTGAGAAACAGAAAACAGAGGAAATTGCTTTTTTTTCCTGTTTAAAAACCCACAGTAACTTCCAAAAAGATGTGTATGATAAAATGATGTATGACTTATACATCAATTTCATTTTAGCATTTTGTACATAAGATGTATCTGCCCACAGTAAGCTGCAGGTAGTATGTGTGAATGTGCTTGTAAGTTGTATCCTTCCTTGCAAATGTTAGTTGTTATGTCTTAATAGTAATGCCAGATGTCAAGCCCCCAGAACAGAGAAAGTTTTCTGATGACAAGGAGCAAACTTCTTCTCTTTTCGCCATATATGACCTATAATAAACATGGCCCAATCATAACATCAAGGTTATTTCAAAATGAGAACAAGCTAGCCTAGTAAATCTAGTAAATCTGGGGCTATAGTCCCTATATTGGAGATACGAGAGGAGGAGCCTCATAGACCAAGAACACCTGGTGAATGCTAGAACCATATGGCCCTTTCCAATGAAGCCAAAACCATGGAATATACACCACAGATGTGGTAGAGAGACATTACTAGCTTCCATCTTCCTTTGACCATCCAGTCACACAACAATACCATTTACCAAATCCTTTCAAAAGCTAGAAGAGAAAGATTCCCCATAAAACCATGAGGCAGGGTGAAAGCAGGGGGTTGGTTTGAGAGCAAACAGACAGTTGGCCAGAATAGATGCCAGCAGAGAATCTTTCACTAAATTACCCAACAGAGTTTTGACCCAGATCAACAGTAAGGCTCCTAACCTCTAGAAATGATGGTATTTCAATAGTGTATTAAAATTTGAAGTTAAATGAAAATAGAGAAGTATCCAGAGAATGAGAATGAATAATATTGTATTATATGTAGTTAACTTTTAGAAGTTTTTTAAAGATGCAATAAATTATTGTCAATTAAGGAATCATAAGGCAATTATTCTTCAGAACAGAAATTTTACCTGATACGTAAACTAATTCATTTCTCCTCAGTTCGTTTTAACTGTGAGCAATTAGACTATCATTGGGTTGCTATTGCATAAATCACAGTAAAATTTAAGTAATGAAGCAAATGGTTTTTAGAAAACATTTTAGCTCCATTTGAATTGTTTTCACCTCTTGAAGAGAAAAACTTCATAGATAGAAGGGCACTCATCTATTTAAAATCCAGACTTTGCTATCTGCAATCAAAGAAAATATAAAGGTTTTGCAAAATGTGACTTTTTTTGGTTGAGATTATAATTATTCACATAAATTTAAGATAGAATAAAAAAGTTACTAACCTGATTTTTGCTTTTTTTTTCCTGAAGAGAATTTAATAATCAAATGCATTCTGTCTTAATTCAGCCATTAATAACAAGTTGGGTACCTTTCTTTAGAGGGTCTTTGATAAGTTTCAGAATTCAGGATCCACTTTTTCTTCTTTCTTTCAAGTCAGGAACTATCATGATCCAGTGTGACTGCTAAACTATAAGGTGGTGCTCTAAGTTCAGTTTTACAGGCAAGGTTGTTAATGTAAATTTGCTTTGAGATTTATATAATAAACTTTGAATTTTATGTTTACTTTGAATCTTTACTGTGGTATCTTTTTGATGATTCCCATTTGGCATGCCTACTTAGGCTTTCGTTTTACTAAACAAACTAGGTTTTATGAAATATCTTACAACTTGTTAAGTACATTTATTTTTTGTCTTCTGAGACTTTTTAAAAAGTTAGTTAACAAATCTTTTTTTAGGTTTTACTTTTCTATAATTTTGTATTAAGAGAAATATATTTACTGTAAATTATCTTTGTAAAACTTTGAAATAATATGAAAGTATAAAAAAATGTAAAAAAATTATCGATAATTTGATTCTTATCCTTTAACCACTACCAATGATTTATATATCTCCAAATTGTTTGCATATGCAAATGTATTAGCATAACATTCTATATTTATTACTATACTTGATAATATTTTGTGGCTGTGTCTCTGCATTTTTATATAGACCTCACTCTTTTTAATGTATGTACAGTACTTCATTTTATGAGTTGACTATATGTAGTCAAATGGACATACAGATTATTATAATTCATTTTTTTCAGGCAGAAGTTCATGAACACCCATGTATACTGGTTCAGGTGCTTCCAGAAGAGATATTTCTGAAATTAGAATTATGCAAAATCTATATTTAATTTATAATTTGGTAGATGTTGCTGAATTTTCCACTAAAAGGTTTTACAAATTTATATACCTACAATGACATTTAAAGTGCCTACACCATTTAGCAAAACATGGACTTTACTGCTATACATTTATCTACTATTCAACACTTTTTTTCGTCCCTATACCAACAACAGTAGAAGGGTATGATGTGGGACAAGAAATTGCTTATAGCTTGCCAAATGTTCTGTGAAGTATCATTTACATAAAGTCTCAATGTCATTGATTTGAAGATGCACTATTACTTTATGTACTGCTTGTGAAGAAAGAAAAACTGCTGGTTGTGATAGCTCACACCTGTAATCCCAGCACTTTGCAAGTCCGAGGTGGGTGGATCACCCAAGGTCCAGAGTTCAGTATCAGCCTGGCCACACGGTAAAAACACATGTCTACTAAGAATACAAAAATTAGCTGGGCATGGTGGTGCACACCTGTGGTCCCATCTATTAGAGAGGATGAGGCAGGAGAATCACTTGAACTCCGAAGGTGGAGGTTCCAAGTGAGCTGAGATTGAGCCACTGTGCTCCAGCCTGAGTGACAGAGAAAGACTCCATTTCAAAAAATAAATAAATAAATAAAACATAATTACACTATTATACACTATGATTACATCATGATTAAAACTATGTTAAAATGTAGAAAAACTTGCATGTTAGAATCAACAAAATATAATCATATATATTTTTGTGCCAACACACAATTACATACAAATACATATATAAACACACATAAATGAGAAGAAATGATATATGTGTTCATTGGTCAAATATTTAAGAGGATATGCAATCAATTGTGAGGATGATGACTAAAGAGATAGCTTTATTAGGTAGGGAGCTTAGACACTTGCTAGGTCAATTTTACAAAAACATACTTTCATGCTGAGCTTATTCCATATTGTTAGGGTTTCTCCAGCAGCTACTTCCAGTCTTGAACTTTATTTACTTTGTGATAAGTTGAAAAAAATATACAAGGAAATAGTAAAATAAAATATACTACAATGCCAACAGTGATTGTTTCTGCCTAATGTGGAAATGGCCAGTTTTTCTTCTTTTATTTTCTTTTTTTCTCAAATTGTCTGCAATTATAATCCTCAAGATATACAACAGAAATAAGTTACAGTGAGTCCAGTATCCTGAGGCAATAGATAAAAGGCTAGAGATTAGATATTAGAATCTGTTTCTGAATAAGAATGTGTGGTAAATCTGTCTCTCTCTCTCTGTAAACAAGAAAGAGTATGTATCTCTATTCACTGATCAGGAGAAGTGGCATTCGTGGAAATCAATATTCTATAAAGAAAAGAATATGGGACAGGGAATGGAAAAGCAAGCATTCTGGAGCTTTTTCTTCCCCCATGTGTATACTGGGTCACTTACCTTAGGATAAAATGTAGAAGGAGGGTTGCCAGTGAACTTGAAATGGAAAGGTAATGAGAAATAGACTGAGTGAAACCTTGCCCAGATAGAAACGCCCTCCACATATTAAAAGAGAAGGAAAGAAATTGGTTAGATGTTTTCTTGGTTGAATTTCTTTGCCTAGATACTGCCTAATCCATGGACAGAGTTCATAAAGTCAAGTTCATTCAGGGACTTTTCTAAGCAAAGCCACAAAGAAAGCCATGGTAAAATTACATATTATACAGCTACTGAGTATACTTTATTCTAAGACAATTATGTCTTATAATGCATTAGGAAAACCTTCTTCATTATGTGTAAAATTTAAAACCCTACAAAATTTATTAAAAGTAAAAATTGATGTTTAGTCTCTTTATCAGCTTTTTAGGAAGAATGGGATTTTAATAAGCAGAGGATACAGAGAAGCATGGGGGTGAAGAAAGGAAAAAAAGCACAAAGGTCAGAATGTTTCTGGTTTGCTTGGGGGTACTTTGCAAACTCCAGGCTATCTGGATAACACTACACAGAGAGGATAGTGGGATACAAGGCTGGAAAAACACATTTAGGTCAAATTAAGAAGGTTCTTGAATACTGTTATGTTTGGATTATATAATGCAGACATTAATGAGCCACTGAAATTATTAAAGAATCAAAGAGAGAAGTTCTGATCTTTTTGAATACATGAAGGAAACTCAGCCAGGCATGTTTAGGTTGAATCCAGTAACTTTCAATAAAGAACAATATAAAATTGCCATAACCAAAGCAGTTACCATGGGAGTAGCTAAAATTAAGTACCAGATTGAATTTGAGCAGGGAGGGAGCTAGAGATGAAATAATTCTAGTGTTTTTATATTCAGAAAATGTAGTATTTTTCTAATATGTTATAAAACGTTAAAGAATAAGTTCTACTCATGATAGTTGTATTTTTTTTGTATACTTTGGTGGCTTGTTTCATTGTGGCTTTACTTAGAAAAATATCTGAATATAAAGATGAAATTGTAGACCATGTCCATGGATTAGCCAGCATCCAGGCAAACAAATTCAAAGTGGAAATGAAGATACAGTTCAGGTTTTGGGAAGAGAGAATATTTTAATTTTGACATTGTTTAATGAATGAAAAATATTACTGTGACTCTCTTCTCCCATAACCCTTGTGCAGGTCTCTGTCTTAGCGTGTAACATACACATTGAAGTGATCTATTTACGTCCTTCCCTATTTGACAAACACACCCGTAAAGGACAAAAGTGCACTCTTATTAATCTTATACTCTCAGTACCTATGGTAGTCATTCCCATGTAGGAGACCACTCAATGTTTGTTGCAATGAGCTGAAATTAGGAAATACACAGATCTGTACTTTAGGTCATAAAATAAAGTTGAAAATATAGGTCTATAAATTCTTCAATTAGATATAAGATTCAAAGACAAAAAAATTGTATTTTATAATTGTGTTTGAATTTTCAAGTGCTATATATGTTGTTTCAAATAATTTTAGCATAAAATATGTTAAATGCAGATACCTCAGATAAAGATTACAGACTTTAGCTGCATTAAAAATGATCAATAATAAAATGTATACAAATAGTACTCCTGAATTTTTTGTTTGCTGTAAACCTCAGATGAAACTGGGCCATCATCACCATCATCATTAAAAACAACCTCAAAAATTAATACTCTGTGCTCTAATTGTGTACTCAACACCGGGTTAAGAATTTTATGTCTCATTATTGTTTGACAAATTATTTTGAGATATTTCCTGTCACAGATAACAATGAGGAACCTGAAGCCGAGGGAAGTTTTGTGATCTTTTTCAAGTACACAGACTGAGTCAGCAAATAGCAGAACTGGAATTAAAAACCACATCTTTCTTTCTATAAAGTCAATGCACTCAACCAGTAAGATATGTCATTCTGTAAACTAACTGGAAAAGTAAGAAAATAATAATACGTGAGCAAAAATATTTTAATTATTTTATCAGATAAAAAGAAAATTGTCACAACTTCTCCTTTAAAACTGATGTTCCAATTCCCTTTTTTTGGAAGCTCAGATTCTGAAAATGCTAAATGTATCATAGTCGGCAGTTACAAGCATGAAGTTGGAGATTCCTAAGTCTGAACAGGAAATAGATCACCCCACAAGGAAGCTAAAAACAAAGTCTTGGGAGCAACAGTGCTGATTCAAACGGTATTTAGAGAGCTTGAACACTTGACAGCAACAGCTACTGAGCTGGCATGGTCATTATGAACTAATTCTAGAAATATCCACACCAAAGTTCCACACTTGCAGCCATGTGATCACATTTGCACTGGTCACTCAGATCTGTGTAATGGTATTAGATATAATAAAAAACTAGAACCCTCACTCCGCTGGGTTCCTAGAATAGGCAAGGTTGAGATTTTCCTAATCAACACATTTTATTTATTTATTTATTTGTTTGTTTGTTTGAGAATCTTGCTCTATCATGCAAGCTGGAGTGCAGTGGCTCAATTACAGCTCACTGCAGCCTCAACCTCCCTGGGTCAAGCAATCTTCCCACCTCAGCCTCCAGAGTATGTGGGACTACAATCAATCACAGGCCACCACACTGGGCTATTTTATTTTTTGTAGAGACAGGGTCTGCATGTTATCCAGGCTGGTCTTGAACTCCTGAGCTCAAGTGATCTTTCCAACCTAGTCTCCCAAAGTGTTGGGATTACAGGAGTGAGCCACTGCACCTAGCCACCATTTTGTATTGATACTTCTTAACTTCATTTCTGTAAAGATTTTTCATTACTCGAAGAGAAAAAAGGTAGAGAATTAACACAACATAGAATAGCTCAAGTTTGTCTAAGCTATTCCCACCATATTCCTAACCTGCCCTATACCAGCCACTATTAAAATCATATTACAGTAAGGATTTTTATTTTTCTTAAGCAAAAGAAGTCTTATCAAATTAGTGTTATTAATTTATTAGTTTATAGTTTGCATGGTATTCGTTTGTAAACAACTTTTGGTTTATAGTTGTATAATGAGCATAATAAATTTATTCTTACTATGTTACTGGTTCACACAAAATGAATGTTATTTTAAGCAATTTGGTTTACAAATTGGAAGTCTGTGATTTTTTTTCTTTAAAGATATCTGTATATTATTCAAGCTTGAGAAACACTTCTCTGGAGGACTCTTATTACAGGGGCAACAAACTATCTTTGTTAAGACTAAAGATTGTCCTGGAAGAAAGGGATTAGAAAGGTAGACAGCGGTCATCTAGGGTGACTGCATTTGGATGGCACTGATTTTGGCAGAGATGAAGTGCCACATTTTTGTTTCTCATCAGCATTCCTTTCAGGAAGTAGAAAACTTGCTGGATGCTGTCCAAAAGTTGTTATCTATTTTTGGAAGGCCAACTTGTCAGAAAAGCAGAATATGAGGCTCCAGATTTACTAGACAGGCATCTTTAGTTTATGAAGGATATTCCTGTGCTTCTTGGTTTAGAATACATTACAAAAGGCAAAATACTTCTTTCAAACTATGAAAGTGGACTGTGGATGAAGTGTTTTGTTTTGTTTAAGAACTGTAAACAGTACTTGTGATGACTTGTGGTATGCAGCTGGATGTGGAACTCTTTGGCTGGTGGGTATAGTTTCTTTCCAGAAAGTTCTCAGGGTTTCAGTATTCCTCTACGTGCAATCACATCTTCCACAAGAAGCCAAGGAGGTAATAACAATCTCAAGAAGATTTAGAAATTGACTGTATCAGTGATGGTGTTTGGCTGTCCATTAGGCCCTTTGTAAACATAATACCTGTTTCAGAAGGCTAGTGATAAACAAAACCTTTTAAAAATGTATTTATAGATGCATAGATTTTATTTTCCATATTTTGCCATAAATGAAATGTATGCCAGGAGGTCATACACTGAATACATTTAGGAGAGGGATAGAGTTTCAAGTGGATCTTCAGGATGTCATCCAATTATGTTCCCTAGACCTGGAGGCAGGAGGCCATGTGGAACAGGGTCAGGTATATAGGTATTCCCTCTCTCAGTCAGTGAAGAAATAGCAGAACTGGGTTGTCAGTAGCTTTTTAGGTCTACCCAAAGTTTTTTTCCCCCCAGAATATTGTAAAGCTGATGTAGTTCCAAAGCAGCTCTCAAGAGTTGA